GAGTATCCCTGCCACACTTTTTCAGTCCATTCATCTGTTCATGGACATTTGGGTTGGTTCCATGTCTTAGCAATTGTGAATAATATCACAGTAAACATAAATGTACAAGCACTTTTCTGACTGAGCATTCTCCTGTCCTTTGGGTAGATACCCAGGGGTGGAATTGCTAGATCATATGGTAGTTTTATTTGTAGGTCTTCAAGGGCCCTTCATGTTGTTTCCCATGGTGGTTGACCAATTTACATTCCCGCCAACAATGTAGGAGAGTTCTCCTTTCACCACAACCCTGCCAACACTCAACATGTTTTGTATTTTTAATCATAGCCATTCTGACAGGGGTTAAGTGGTATCTCATTGTGGTTTTAATCTGCATCTCTCTTACGTTAGCATTTTCTCATATGCTTTTTTTATGTCTTCCTTAGAGAGTTTTTTGTTTAGCTCATTTTCCCATCTTTTAATTGGGTTAATCATATTTTTGGGGGGTAAGCCACATGAGTTCCCTATGTATTCCAGTTATCAGTCCCTTATCTGGGGCAAAGTTTATGAAAATATACTACCATTTCGAGGACTGTTGATTCACACTAACTACTGTGTCTTTTGCCATGCAAAACTTCTTAATCTGATGTAATCCCACTTGTCTATTTTTGGGATTATTGCTCGTGCTTTGGGGGTCTTATTTAAAAAATCCTTCCCTACCCCAATGTCTCCCAGAGTTTCCCCAGTGCTTTCCACTAATAGTTTTATAGTTTGAGGTCTTAGTTCAGATTTTTGATCAATTCTGAGTTAATATTTGTTCATGGTGAAAGGTGGGAATCCATTTTCATCTTTCTGCCAGTGGATATCCAATTTTTCCAGCACCATTTGTTGAAGAAATTTTCCTTTTCCCTCTAGATTAATTGGCATCCTTTGTCAAAAATCAATTGGCTCTGTGTTTTGGAGTTTATTTCTGGAGTCTCTATTCCATTGGTCCACCTGTCTGTTTTTGTGCCAATACCATGCTGTTTTGATTATCACAGCTTTAAAATACATTTTTGGGTCAGGGAGTGAGATGCTGCTCACTTTACTCCTCTTGCACATGATTGCTTTAGCAATATGGGGTCTTTTATGATTCCAAATTCTATGATTCTGTTTTCTATATCTATGAAGAATGTCTCTGGTCATTTAATTGAAATTGTGTTAAATATGTAGATTAATTTGGCTATAATTGCCATTTTGATTATATTAATTCTTCTAAGACAGGAACATGAGATATCATTCCACTTTTTTGTGTCACTTTTCAATTTCTTTTTGAAAATTTTTATAGTTTTCCTTGTAAAGGTCTTTGATATTCTTGGTTAGGTTTATCTTTAGGTGTCTTATACATTTAGTGGCTATGGTAAAAGGGATTATTTTCTTTCCTTCTGTTTTTGGGGGGCCATAAAGGGATTTTTTTGGTCTTGTTTGTTTGTTTGTTTGTTTGTTTACTTACAGTTATTCACTGTACATCAATACAGTATACAAAATTAGATTTTCCCATCCAGTATACATTGTATATTGGCTCAATCAAGGAAATTACTATACATGTTATCATCAACAAATAACTTTTTGTTTCTTGTTTCTTATATATTTTGCTTTCTTTTTCCCCCTTTATTCCCTACCTCTCACCCTCTGCCAACTCCCCCGCCCCCTTCTCCCACACTGTCTCTGGTATGTACAGTTGTTTTTATACCTTTTTATTCACATTTTATTGATTAACTAAAGATATTAATTAATTTAAAGACTTTCAATAGCAAGAACAGCTGATATATACATATTTATGAATGCAAGTCTGATTTAGGTGTAAATCTCAGTGAGTAAAGTGTACTATGAAGTAGCACCTTGCTGGGGCTATAGAGCTTACTGCAGCCATTAAATTGTTATTAGTAGTTATTTTAATGCATATTTTAATTTCAAAAAAGGTTTAGTTTTAATAGATCAAAATAAAAAAATGTTAAAAGAGATTTGATTAAAACTAAAAGCCAGGAAAAAAGTTGGGATTCATTTTAAATGATAGATGAACCTATCAACAGTTCAAGGGAAGATAAAAATCCTTGAATATGATATTGTTTAGTTCCTGTATGTCTTTGCTTATTCTCTGTCTAGAAGATCTGTTTAAAGGAGATAATAGTATATTGAAATCCCTGATTATAGTGTTGTACACCCATCTTTTGTTTGTATATCTTTTAGTCAATCAGTTTCAGTCATAGAGTGCAGACACTCTATATATTAAGTGGTGACATACAATGTCTCTCCTTTAAAC